CCCACTCCCCTTACAATTTATTTACAAAGTAAGTGACACCCCCATGCAGCATGTGTAAATCTCTCTCTCTCTCTCTCTCTCTCTCTCTCTCTCTCTCTCTCTCTCTCTCTCTCTCTCTCTCTCTCTCTCTCTCTCTCTCACTCACTCACACACACACACACACACACACACACACACACCACCCCACCCCCCACCCCTGTAGTATTTGTGTACAAAATTGATGTCCCTTCTACCTCCCCAGAACAAAGTGGGTGACCCCCCCTAAAATCATCACCGCCAGCCATAAATTATAAACGGTCCCAAATGTGATTTGTTTGGCTTCAGCTTTGAGCCGTACCCAAAACAGCTGAACTAAGCAACCAATTTAAAGTTAAGGATCATGTATAAATGCAGCAAATTCTGTCACAAACACCTGTATACGGACATGTTTTCACAGTTACATAACTAATTACGACAAAAATCAGAATTATTTCAGAACACAATGGGGTGTTTGAGCTATTTCCATTAACGTTGCCGATTATATGATATTTATTACGTGATGTAAATTACATGATGCTTGCATTATAAAACAACACAGTTAATGAAAATGAAACATCGTACACCATGAGAGGTTTGCTTGAGAGGGAATTGCCACACGATATAAACGATTGAATAACTGACGAGTACAAAAATATTGAAACCCTTAAGGTGCTTCCAACCTATATTTGAAAATTAAATGTTAGCTACATATTTGCAGAGGAATATGGAAATATGTAACTGATAATTTTCAGTGTCTCCTCACAAAAACATTAACTAAATCATATTCCGCGCATAGATCGCCTTAAGTTTTAGAGCTAACCGGGAGCAGTACTGCAGTAAATAGGGTTTTACGAAATTGTGGACTGTTTATCCCAGTTCTGGTCGTATCCCAGTTCTGGTCGCTACATAATACAGTAAATAGTTTCTTTGAAAGTAAGAACGGGAATAAAAGAAAATTAAATTATGTCATAATTATTTTTAATGATGTTACATCCATTCTTGATGGGTATGTATGTATAACAATTCAAGTTTGTTTTGGGATTTAAGTTATTTGTGTTATGCCATTTGTGAGAGTATATAAGAGATTGGTATGTTGCTTGGTCATACTTTTCAGAGAATATTTCTTATGAAATACTGAAAATATACAGGTTCATGTACACATTCATGACACTGTAAAAAGAGTGGTGATCTATTATTTATAATGGTAGGGTGTATTCAGTAACATCACCATCACACATAATACTATGCTGATAATGCTGAGTTAAAGGTCCAGTTAAAGTTCTCATCCCCAAATGTTCACATGGCCCCTAAGCAGTTAGTGGCTCCCCTTTTTATAACATGTTTGCAAAAATCCAAATGCAACCTTTCAAAATTTAAGCCTTTATTATATCCCCCATATCTCAGACGATAAGATAGTATACTACCAACATAACGATCAAAGACAAATAAAGTACATTCCAGGTTGAGAGAGCCACCTGATATTATTGCAAATTGAAAAGGGGCCATTCTACCCTGGTCAGACAACTGCAGCTTGTGCCTTTGAGAATCGGTTATTATAATTAAAACCTATTCCTAAATGTAAACGTGATCGACAACCTGTAGGACACAACCATTATATATAACCAACGCTCTGACTATTTAACTTTACCAACTCTTCCGAAGACCATTATCTTTGTTTTAGCAATATTTACTTCAAGTTCCCACGCGGTGGAATAAGCTGACAATGATTTCCACTGTGTTTGCAACCTTTCAACAGATTCAGAAAAATAACAAGATCTTCAGCATACATAAGCAGAAACATATTTAAAGATTTAAACTCGTGAGGTATACATTTATCTTTTTAGGAAAGACTCCTCAAAATGAACTATCTAATGTCGAATTAAAGAAAATGTGTAATGGAGAATAAGAAGTAACTCCCTGAAAACCTTTTGCAAAAATCCAAATGCAACCTTTCAAAATTTAAGCCTTTATTATATCCCCATATCTCAGACGATAAGATAGTATACTACCAACATAACGATCAAAGACAAATAAAATTACATTCCAGGTTGAGAGAGAGCCGACCTGATATTATTGCAAATTGAAAAGGGGCCATTCTACCCTGGTCAGACAACTGCAGCTGTGCCTTTGAGAATCGGTTATTATAATTAAAACCTATTCCTAAATGTAAACGTGATCGACAACCTGTAGGACACAACCATTATATATAACCAACGTTCTGACTATTTAATCCTTTACCAACTCTTCCAAGACCATTATCTTTGTTTTAGCAATATTTACTTCAAGTTCCCACCGTGGTGGAATAAGCTGACAACGATTTCCACTGTGTTTGCAACCTTTCAACAGATTCAGAAAAATAACAAGATCTTCAGCATACATAAGCAGAAACATATTTAAAGATTTAAACTCGTGAGGTATACATTTATCTTTTTAGGAAAGACTCCTCAAAATGAACTATCTAATGTCGAATTAAAGAAAATGTGTAATGGAGAATAGACGAAAATGTGTACATAACTTTATTTATATTTTATATGTGTTCAAATTAAAGAGCCGCCCCCGTTAATCCTATTTTTCTGTACTTTGTCAGAGCCTCCCGAAGTGAGGCGCTGTGTTCATTCAGCCATAACATTGTATTGCAAGTACCGCAAAGTCTACACTCATTGAACCGAAAAGTGGACGATTTTAGCCTTATATATAACACCTCTCCTGTCTTTCATTCTGTGTGGAGTTCTGTGTGATGTTCATCCATCCTAGTATTTTGTTCTCAAAACTTTATTTCATGTAATTTGTTTGGTCTCAACCCTGAGCCGCGATTCAGTTGAACGACGCAAGTCATTTAGAAAATAGACACAGGTATAAGTGCAGCAAATTGGTTGACAAACACCCAATATGGAAAAAATATTCATACCTAATTACAATCAAAATTATTTCAGAAAACACAAATTAGTGTTTGAAATATTTTAAATAATGTATACGATTCTGTGGTATTATTGTGACCACAAAGTGATGAAGAAACAGAATTCATTTCAGATAATCCTTTCAAACAGGATGACATTTTGTTTCCATTTTAAAAATAACACAATTAATCGTCCCATATATGCAAAATGAATAATACGGTTTGACGAAAGTATAAAATAATTAAGAAAAACTTAAGATTTTTTCCAAATTATAGTGAAGAAACAATTAGGGTTACATATTCGAAAGTGAATCTGAAATGGTAAATGTTAATTTGTATTTCTTCTAAAAACAAGAAGAAAATCATATTACACATCAGTGGCTTTTAAGTTTTAGCGTTAGCGGGAGCAGTACCAATAAGCAAATCGGGTTTCACGCAGAAATTGTGGACTGTTTATCCCAGTTCTGGTCGTATCCCAGTTCTGGTCGCTACAGTCGATCCCAGTTCTGGTCGCTACGGACGTCTTTAGCTCCCTAAATTTATTTCTGCGCTGATTGCAAAAGAAGGCAATGAAACATAGTTCTGGCTGAAGCAAAGTTAAATGTTTTCGATGATCATATCTTGACGGCACCTCGGATAGTAAAATACCCGAGGAAGCATTTCTGACCAAACCAAAGAAATGATAAGAGATTAACGATGAATTGTTTCCTTTGATATCAATTTGTATTCATAATAAAGATGTAATCGCTTCCTAAGTAAATATAGCTTCACTTCACCATTCAACGGTGGTTTCAGCGTTGGGCTATAATTCCTCAGTTCAAGCTAAGATTGACTTAGGATGTATTTTTAGAAACTTTCTGTTGAGTTCCGGTGGTAATCTACATGGGCGGACCCAGGAATATTGAAAAGGTGGGGTTCAGGGGTTCAAAATCGCTGATCCCCCATTGGCTCGGGCCAACGCCAATAAAAAATAAATCTTCAATGTGGTCTGAAGTCATTTTCAAAAGTAGGTGTGTGTGCATGGCGTGTAAAGGCATGCGCGTCGCGCGCGCTTGTGCAAGACGGGTGTGTGTGGTGGGTGATGGTGTTGGAACCCTGGACGACTGCGCGTGTGGGTTTATGATGTCAAGGGCCCAACTCTACATTGTAAGTTCAAATCTCAATCATGCATGCCTCTAAAGATACTAGCACTTATGAAACTCATCATAGCTGGGTATCACTATCTGAGGAGGATTAACGAGCAGTCGAGACAATCCTATGGGGAGATAAAACACAGCCCAGAAAACTCCAAACTTCTCCCCATGGGATTGGAGCTCACCGAGGACATTTTGCTATTTTTATAATTTCTCAATCAAAACATTTTATGACATCGAACTGTGTGCTGTGTCAGCAAGATTGAGGCGAAAAGGGCTTGACTTCAAGTACATGAATTCCACTGTGTAATATATTCCTGCTTTCAGGTTTACATGTTTACATAACTTTTACCGATTATTTAACAGTTGAAATGACAATCTTGTGATGTTTCAAGTTAATTGGATCATCAAAAGGTATGAACACGTTATTTTCACAAAGACACACCTTAATTATCTGTCTGGTGCCCTATGTGGCATCCTCCCACAAAAATGCGTTTCTATCCCTGGGATCATTACAAGCTAATGCAAAGAATTTGATTTTTGTCACATACCCCGCCCTATAAATATTTTGAAGGATTGTTGGGATTTGGCTGTCATTCACTTGAACAGTAAGTTTATGTAACCTGCAGGCATTGTGTGGTACGCTAATAGACTTGCACACGCCTATAAGGTAGTAATTCATAATTTAAACGATACCTAATAATTATATTTACCAGACTATTCATCCATGAGCTCAGCATTCAGTACAGCCTTGGAGTATTAAAAGTATTGCACACACTAGGATTGATCATAATTAATTCAATCACTTTGAAATCAACATGATTAAGGGTGAACCCGTGTATAAGTTTCATGGACATTAATTGATGATCTTCAACTTTGATATAAAGCAGGTGACTAAGCTGACACACCAATTCTGTTTTATAGCATAATTAGATTCTCCATTATTTTCACAGATAGTGCTTGGTGACAAAAGAAGCTAAGTTGTGATGGCCAGCCACGATAAGGACAGTGGACAGCTGGTCTTGGCCACTTCCAGACGAAAGTCTGAAGACAACATGGCCCCTTCCAGTGGGCAACCTGGAGGTCTGGTGGCCCCATCCAGTGAACAGCCTGAAGGTTTGTTGGCCCCATCCAGTGGGCAACCTGGAGGTCTGGTGGCCCCTTCAAGTGGGCAGCCTGAAGGTCGGGTGGCCCCTTCCAGTGGGCAGCCTGAAGGTCACAAGGGCACATCAAGATTGAGAGGTGACTTGCCAGTTCCTGATATTGACATATCCAGTTCAGATGAGGAATACCTTACAGCAGAGAGGATGACTCTGGTAGCAGCGGAGCTCAGTTCAGACGAGGAACATGAAGGTCGCTTGGTACTCGCAGGTTCAGCTGAGCGGGAGGTTCTTGAGCTAGAGAGCCAAGCAATCACTCTGAGTACAGGTGGGTGTCATTGTTGGTTTGATGAAATTCTCGAAGTTGGGGAGTAAAAAATTATGCACACAACTTTAAGGATGACAACTTCTTTGTTTATTGCATAGAGGCTAGAGCAATGTTGCAATGTAGATTCATACACTGTAGCTAAAAGTGACTACAAACAGCCAAGACAGACAGCAAATCAGCCATCACAGATCACCAACAAAATTTCCTTATCCAGTTTAACTAAGTCGAAATCCTGTCTCCTATCCACTGAGAAATCAGGAATCCACGAAAAAAACCTTTGAATGCTATTGAACTTTGCCATCACAAACCCTTGATTTACAGATACCCAGGATACTCATATATATATATAAAGTTTGGTTTGAAGGTCTGATTTATAAACTCTAGAAAAAATAGGGTTTCAGGCTCGTTACTGAAATGGTTATTTGCAAGACAGAAGACAACAAGTTGTTATAAATGGACTTCAATCCTCATTTCCCTCAGTGTTAATGCAGGAGTCTCTCACAAGGTTCCGTTTAGGCCCATTATTATTCCTGATATAACGATTTAGTTGTTAACATTGATTTATTCATTGATGACACATCCCTTTTATTATTGTGTAATATAGATGTGGAAAATGAAATCCATTTTTTTACTTGTATGTCCTTTGTATAAAGATTTGTGTACCGAAATATATAGCTGAATATTATCTATGTAAGCCACCTACATAAGCATTTAAACTACTTCTTTTCATCAACTGACCAGCATGTAATAATAAAGCTGTCATACTATATCAATTATGCTCTTATTAAACGTAACAATCTGATAAAAGTTTTGTAGGTCCATCACGATTTCACTCACTTGTACATAATTTACTGCCTGTATCATGATTTGCTGTTTGGATCACTACTGTGATATGACCGCCTATAAGCCGAATTTTGAGGACCCAAAAAGCAGTCTGTAATTACTACTTATTGCACCATATGTATAATATATATGTATAACTCCAATGTATATTTGCCAGAGGCCTTTGTACAATAAACATCTTTGACTTTGATAACCCTGATGTTACTGCTACTTACCTCAATCATGACTTAGAAAAAAAAAATTTAATTGGGCTAGAGATTGGAAATGTCGCTTTCAATCCTACCAAAACCGAAAAGCATATTATTTTCACACAAACAACCACCCAGTAGACTCCTGATCTTCACATGAATAATATCAACATTAAAGTAGTTTCCCATCATAAACATCTTGGTTTAACATTGCAAAGCAACTGTAATTGGTACCAATGCATTCTATTACTTTATTGGGAATTGATTTGTAGATAGCTTCCAATATAAATATGTACCTGTTCGGGAGAGGCATTTATATAAGCCCACTGAGCTTGTTTGCCATTCAATCTTCTTCTCTTGAAATAAAAATATGTTTAAAACATTACGATAGACTCTCATCATAGCACACTATCACCCCTGTTTTAAGTACTTAATCCATCCTGTTTATTGGCTTCATTACTTTTTTCTGTTTGTTGTCATTAATACCCACCTGTTCTCATCTAATTATGTCTGGTGTCCCCTCACCGCGGATGTTGCTGGAATATTGCTAAAAGCTGGCATGTAAAACCAAACTCAGTCAGTCAGTCATCTAATTATGCCACTTGTGATTAAATTACATGCTGTTGTTAATGTTAATGTGCCGTTTGTCATAACATACTATGTATATATGTATACTTTATGATCACTTGTTTGTAGTCACTTCTGCCTGATAACAGTGTAACAATCGACATAGAAACACTCACTGTAAGCAAACACAAGAAGTTGTCATCTATAAAGTTGCATGCTTCATTCTTGGTGTCACGTTGTAATTGGGCCTTCATTTTGTCACCCCTGGTTGTTTATTTCAAATAAAATACCCCTAGGGGCATTATTCAAAATGTAATGCATCAACAAAACTGAATTGTTTGAGATATCTTATTTGTGTAATTACATGGAATTGTTGGATCAAGCACCGATTCAAACAGTAATTTGAATTTCATTCAGATTGACATTTTTGTCATGGGAACTTAATCTGATGACTTTCTACCCCGTGTTTTATTTACTTTACTTGTTCAAAGCTGTCAATATTGTGTTCCAATTTCAAATGGAAACATTTCTATTTTCACCAATTAATATTGATTGGCACAACGGCTTGTTTAAGGTGAGATATACAGGCTTTAATATCAAACTCTTCTTCACCGAAACTGACATATTGTTCAAATATTTGATGTTCTTAGCCTCTTTTATTACAAAGGAGTAATGATTTGATTTTAAAATCTCAAAATGGTTGCAATATTGTCCGAAGTTCAATATGTGAAATCACTTAAATATCCAAATGTCTAACAAAAGTTTAACAGGATTTTCTTTCTAGAAAACATCCTCTTGTATATCTAAAGGCAGCTATTTAATCCCATTGTATCCATTCTGTTACAAATGTTATAAATACTGGACCCATTTGCCAACAAGGCTTTGTTTCTGATATGACATCACGGGTATGTTGCAGTACACACTTCACACACAAAAATGCATCTTGGTAATGAGGAAATACAGAAAAAAACAGCCCCATGTAAACCTAGGAGATCATGATACCAGTGATTCAGATTTGGTTCCTATCATACTTTCAGTTTGTGCATGTTCTGATATTTAAGACATATCATTGTTTCACCAGTGATTCAGATTTGGTTCCTATTGTCCCTTCAGTTTGTGCATGCCTGATATTTAATACATATCATTGTTTACCAGTGATTCTCAGATTTGGTTCCTATCATACTTACAGTTTGTTCATGCCTGATATTTTATTACATATCATTGTTTACCAGTGATTCAGATTTGGTTCCTATCATACTTACAATTTGTTCATGCTCTGATATTTAATACATATCATTGTTTACCAGTGATTCAGATTTGGTTCCTATCATACTTACAGTTTGTTCATGCTCTGATATTTAATACATCATTGTTTACCAGTGATTCTCAGATTTGGTTCCTATCATACTTACAGTTTGTGCATGCTCTGATATTTAATACATATCATTGTTTACCAGTGATTAAGATTTGGTTCCTATCATACTTACAATTTGTTCATGCTCCTGATATTTAATACATATCATTGTTTACCAGTGATTCAGATTTGGTTCCTATCATACTTACAATTTGTTCATGCCTGATATTTAATACATATCATTGTTTACCAGTGATTTTCAGATTTGGTTCCTATCATACTTCATTACAGTTTGTTCATGCTCTGATATTTAATACATATCATTGTTTACCAGTGATTCTCAGATTTGGTTCCTATCATACTTACAGTTTGTTCATGCTCTGATATTTAATACATATCATTGTTTACCAGTGATTAAGATTTGGTTCCTATCATAACTTACAATTTGTTCATGCCTGATATTTAATACATATCATTGTTTACCAGTGATTCAGATTTGGTTCCTATCATACTTACAGTTTGTTCATGCTCTGATATTTAATACATATCATTGTTTACCAGTGATTCTCAGATTTGGTTCCTATCATACTTACAGTTTGTGCATGCTCTGATATTTAATACATATCATTGTTTACCAGTGATTCAGATTTGGTTCCTATCATACTTACAATTTGTTCATGCCTGATATTTAATACATATCATTGTTTACCAGTGATTCAGATTTGGTTCCTATCATACTTACAGTTTGTTCATGCTCTGATATTTAATACATATCATTGTTTACCAGTGATTCTCAGATTTGGTTCCTATCATACTTACAGTTTGTGCATGCTCTGATATTTAATACATATCATTGTTTACCAGTGATTCAGATTTGGTTCCTATCATACTTACAATTTGTTCATGCTCTGATATTTAATACATATCATTGTTTACCAGTGATTAAGATTTGGTTCCTATCATACTTACAGTTTGTTCATGCCTGATATTTAATACACATCATTGTTTACCAGTGATTCTCAGATTTGGTTCCTATCATACTTACAGTTTGTTCATGCCTGATATTTAATACATATCATTGTTTACCAGTGATTCAGATTTGGTTCCCATCATACTTTACAATTTGTTCATGCCTGATATTTAATACATATCATTGTTTACCAGTGATTCAGATTTGGTCTCTATCATACTTTACAGTTTGTTCATGCCTGATATTTAATACATATCATTGTTTACCAGTGATTTTCAGATTTGGTTCCTCATCATACTTACAGTTTGTGCATGCTCTGATATTTAATACATATCATTGTTTACCAGTGATTCAGATTTGGTTCCTATCATACTTTACAATTTGTTCATGCTCTGATATTTAATACATATCATTGTTTACCAGTGATTCAGATTTGGTTCCTATCATACTTACAGTTTGTTCATGCTCTGATATTTAATACATATCATTGTTTACCAGTGATTCAGATTTGGTTCCTATCATACTTACAGTTTGTGCATGCTCTGATATTTAATACAAATCATTGTTTAAATTGGTATATGCCTTCCTTAAGGAAGAGTATTGAAATGACAAGGTTCGGGGAAGCCATGTTTTCAACTATAGCCAATCAAAGCAAGTGATAGTTGAGCAGCTGAATTTGTGGTACAGCTTTCTCGTACAAGTAGCTAGACCCTTTGATTTCACAGAGTGTAGTAGAATGTCTCTACTTCTTGAACTAAATGTGAAGAATCTTACCCTGATTCATGATGAACAAGTTTTGATCATCAACTATTGTTATCAGTTGGTAAGTTTTATAATCAAGAGAAGACCAGATCGATTGAGCTGGATCTTTAGAATGATGTTCATCAAACTCTTAAGCTCTGCAACAGTATTAAATATTTTATTCAGTGTGGAAAGAAAACTCCATGGTTACCATGGTTACTGATGATTCCTCCTGTTTGGTGTTGACAGGTGAACAGCGTTCAGGGAACGCCCAAGCTACTTTAACATGATCAACATCGCCACTGGAGGGGCAGGACAAGGAACACTGGGGAGAGGTGGAGTGTCGACATGAGGAAGGGTCAGTAAGTGACCAGATCTTGTGAAATTTTGCCATTTTCCTCACAAGCTAGGAGGTTTTCAGTGCTTTCAATCATTCACACTATGATGAACCCATCCAAATTGACATTCTAGTCCAGGAGGAGAATCTCAAAGGGGCCTAGAAATAGGATTTCGTAGCCTACCCAGTACTGATTTTGTTTGACACTATTTTCAGTTAGTATGATGGATTGGGCTCATGAAAAGGCCTGTAATACTCTCAGATTGTGGTATCAGGGGTTTTTTTACAGGCCATTATATGTGGTGGGGGTCTGAGAGCATTTTTTGTCACATTTGGTTTGCTGCCCGAACACTTCAAAGTTAATCATTGATAGTTTTACTACTATCAATCTGATCACTTTCATTTTAACTTCTGTGTACTGCTAAAGGATGTAGAAATTATTTGACATAATTTTGTTTTGAAAAATCAAAATGGCCACCATTTTGCATTGTTCGTTTTGACTTCTCAGCACTTAAATCTACATAAAATGAACACCGAATGTTTCCATTTACATCTAAAGTTGATACTTTCGAAGTGTTTTGATACTTATTTCTCATAGAGTGATGGCTTGGGCACACAACAAGTCATTTGGTTGGTCATATCGTGGTAATTTAATGTTTTACAGCTTATTCTTTGAGACAAGGGTATTTTAGCGATTCTCCGACTTTTCATGGAAATGTGTGAGAGTGATTTATTTAATGGCAGATAACAGTATATTTGTTACAAAAACAAGTTGTTAGGAATAGAGCTAAATTTCAATGATAGGGTCAATCAAAGCTTCACACTCCTAGAATATTTGATGAAATAACATTATCCAAAAGTGTTTGAAAACTATGCTTCATGGCCGATAACTACGTCTAAGCTTTGGTTGTAGGCATTCAAATTGTTCTATCAGATAACTCTTAATCACTTTTGATACATCCATAAGCTTGCAATTAACCCTCCTTTTCCCTTTCTTTTTATTTCATATGTTACATCATGTCACAATCGGTCCTGTAGAGATCCAGGTTAGAATTGATCTTCATTAACCCATGCTTGTCGAAGAGGCTACTAACAGGATCTGGTTGTCAGGCTCGCTGACTGGGTTGACACATGTCATCGTATCCCAATTGCGCAGATTGATGTTCATGCTGTTGATCCCTGGATTGTCTGGTCCAGACACGATTATATACAGACTGCCGCCATATAGCTGGAATATTGCTGAGTGTGGTGTAAAACTAAACTCACTCACTCACTCATGTCAGAATCGGAGTCATCTACTGGCAACAAGTCAAAGGTGTTCAGGGCAACAATCATCTGCCATACAAAAAGACATGCCTCTGTGCACACTATATCATTCTTTCTGCTGGCATGCTGACATTTTGCATTTACACGATGTCAGTTCAACCAATCCATGGGGAGCAGGATCTCTCGACATCAGAATAGGGATAAGCTGACCATCACAAATGCTCCAACCATGGTCAACTGGTGAAAGAATGTTCATGATTGGTTGCAGAGACTGTTTCCAAACATGGACTTGGTAGTTTACTCGTTCAATGTAATGTTTTAGACTGTTGGATGTTGGTGGGAGGTTTTCATTCAATATCTTGTGTCATCTACAGACATCACTGGATTATTTGGTACATGCATAGAACTCACAAACTGGCCACAAGATGTAATGATTGTTTCTTGAACATCCAAATTATCACCCAATTGTGTCAATGTTTGTTGGTGATTTTCAGAGGACTTCTGTAAGTCAATTCCCCATGTCAAACGTTCTACACGTTCTAAAATAAGTGTATGTAGTTAAACTACAATGGTGGCCATTTTGGTGGCCATTTTGAATTCTGGGTAATATGTAAACATTCCTAATAACATGCTGTCACTCTAGAAGTAAAGAGAAAACAAAAACAACTTGTTTTAGTAACAAAAATAATGTTAACTGCCATTAAATAAATCGCTCTCACACATTTCCATGAAAAGTCGGAGAATTGCAAATATACCCCTGTCTGTAAAACATTAAATTACCATGCTATGACCATACAAAATGACTTGTTTTGAGCCCAAGCCATCACTCTAGGAGAAACAAGTGTCAAAACACATCAATAGTATCAACTTTGGATGAAAATAGAAACATTCAGTGTTCATTTTTATGTAAATTTAAGTGCTGAGAAGGCAAAACACGACAAAACAAAATGGTGGCCATTTTGATTTTTTTTTCAAAACAAAATTATGTCAAATAGATTTCTACATCCTTTAGCAGTACACAGAAGTCAAAATGAAAGTGATCAGATTGATAGTAGTAAAACTATTAATGATTAACTTTGAGGTGTTGTCGGGCAGCAAACCAAAATGTGACGAAAATGCTCAGAGACCCCACCACATATAATGGCCTGTAAAAAACCTGATACCACAATCTGAGAGTATTACAGGCCTTTTCATGAGCCCAAGACATCATACTAACTGAAAATAGTGTCAAACAAAATCAGTACTGGGGAGGCTACGATTTGAAATTTTTCAGCTGCCTCCTCCTGGACTATTCAGTTCTTAATGAATAATGTTGTGTATGGTTACCTAGGAACAAGTCTGAATGAAGACAGTTGTCACTCAAGCTGTTTATTTTCCTATACTTGCACTCATCATGTATTAACTACCAGTACAACAACCATAATCACCTGTCAGTAAATAAAGAGATGTTTAGTGTTCAGTTGAAAGTACTGTGGCAGCGTTCTAGATGATGTTGTTATCTCCAACCTAAAGACTAAAAGGTTCCAACCACAATGAAATAGGTAATTATTTTGTCAATTAATGTTAACATCCTAGTATTTCCTGGTGTGGTAAACAGTTTTTGTATTCCTTCAGATACCCTTGATTTGCGCACAGATGAAGCAAGGAAGATCTTTGCTCCAACTGAAGCCTACAGAAAAGTGAAACAGAAGTTGAAGGAATTTGGTCATGTGACTATCTGTGGTGCTTCAGGAGAAGGCAAGACAACAATGGCTCTGGTGCTGGGTTCACAGTATAGACAAAAGGGGTACGAAGTCGTGTTTGTGGACAGCCTTAAGAAGTTTGACTTTGACCGCTGTCTAAGTACTTACTCAAGAGTATTTCTGATTGTGGATGATTTGTTTGGTACTGTTGGAGTATCTGCTAATACTTCACAGGTTAAAAACTTTCTGAACAATCTTCTCCCCCATTTAGAACAAAAGCAGAGAGCAGAAGAGAAAAGGTCAGAATTGAGTGAAAACAGTGATGCTGGTGAAAAATCCAGAAAGAAAATGCAAAATTTAAAAGAATCTCAAACAAAGGATATTCATGTTGTCTTCACATCAAAATCATACAATTTCCATGATGGACTTGCAAAACTGCAGTATGAGGGTTTCAAATTGTTCAAGGGTCAAACAGTAGTGGACTTAACTACACACAAGAAATATTGGCTTTCTGACAAAGAGAAAAAGTCAATATTTGAACGACATAAACATGCTTGTGGTGACTGCTCTGTGCAACATATTCCAGATTACAGTGAGCTAGAAAGCTGTTCCAATATCTTTGGATTCCCTCTTATTTGTAAACTTTGTTTTGAATTTTCCTCTTTCTTTAAAATGCACAATCGTTATTCAAGGAACCACTGTTTTATCTTAGGTTAGAACTAAATCAGTTACTTGAAGACAGAAATGATAGATCGGCCATTTTGGTTCTGATGCTGCTGTGTGAAGACAAATTGAACCTGACCAGGTTAGACAGTGGAGATGAAGACAAGGAAATGGACAGGATGGTCAAAACTGTTCAAGACCTGATGCCAAATGCTACACGTTCAGGCATGTACAAAGCCGCTAAAAGTTTTAGAGGTACATTCTTCACAAGAGGAGACACTGTTGGCTTTGCCCATTCTTCAATCTATGATGCTTGTGCCTGTGCCTTGTTCAATATCAGTCCAGTCTTTGTTTTGAAGAACTGTAGTGATGACTTTCTGTTTGAAAGAGTACAAGGTGAAAAGGTTGAAGAAACAACAGTTGATGACCATCTCCATCTGATATATGTCTCAGATAATTATGATGACCTACTTACCACAAGGTTTGCACATTCTATTAAACAAGGAAAGTTTTCTCAATCAGTGACACATCCAGTTCTCAAACGAGACACAACAGCTTTTAAACTGCTCAACAAACTTCAGTGTGATCGGACAAAGCACCACCATCATCATAATCAAACTGATTCTAAAGATGAACTTTGGTTTCACAGAAGAGAGAAAGGAAAATGTTTTCTGTACTGGGCAGTTCTTGGACATAATGCACTTCTAGTTACAGATATAGAACACACAACTGGAGAAGAGTTCTCTCAAGAGGAGATCAGTCAAGCTATGGAAGGGTGTGCACAAAGCAACAATGTGACAGTATTGAAATGTCTCTTCAGTCGTTGTGAAAAACATGATCATCAACAGACACTAAACAGACTTTTGTTGCAGGCTGCTGAAAATGGCAGTTCTGATATTCTAGTGTATCTGCTCCAGGAAGGTGCTGATGTTGACACAAGAGACAAGAAGTTACGAAACATCTTCCATCTGGTCTGTAAGACAGGAATGGAAAAATCTCTGAAAATCCTGTTAAATAGGAAACCTGGAGATAATGTTATAAACTCTGCTGATGTGAATGGCACAACCCCTGTCATGGTTGCAGCACATGCAGCATCACAAGGATGTTTTGAGTTACTACGGAAAATATCAGACTTGAATGTGAAAGATAAATATTGCAATAGAATTATTCATTATGCCTGTCAGGGTGGCAACAAGGCTATCGTGAATCATCTTCTGGCTCCTCCTAACATCAACAGTAGAGGTGAGTGTGGCTGGACTCCAGCAATGATGGCAGCTGTCAGTGGACATCAAAGTGTGTTTGACCTCCTTGTGTCCAACCAAGCTGACCTGACACTGGTGTCTACATCTGGTGATAGTTTACTTCATCTTGCCTGTCATGGTGGGAACACTGCTATCGTACAACACCTCCTGTCTCCCTCTAACATCAACAGTAGAGGTGAGCATGGATGGACTCCAGCAATGGCGGCAGCTGTCAGTGGACATCAAAGTGTGTTTGACCTCCTTGTGTCCAACCAAGCTGACCTGACACTGGTGGATACATCTGGTGATAGTTTACTTCATCTTGCCTGTCAGGGTGGGAACACTGCTATAGTGCAACACCTCCTGTCTCCCTCTAACATCAGCAGTAGAGGGATGACATGGATTGACTCCAACAATGATGGCAGCTGTCAGTGGACACCAAAGTGTGTTTGACCTCCTTGTGTCCAACCAAGCTGACCTGACACTGGTGGATACATCTGGTGATAGTTTACTTCATCTTGCCTGTCGTGGTGGGAACACTGCTATAGTACAACACCTCCTGTCTCCCTCTAACATCAGCAGTAGAGGGAGACTAGGATGGACTCCAACAATGATGGCAGCTGTCCGTGGACATCAAAGTGTGTTTGACCTCCTTGTGTCCAACCAAGCTGACCTGACACTGGTGGATACATCTGGTGATAGTTTACTTCATCTTGCCTGTCGTGGTGGGAACACTGCTATAGTACAACACCTCCTGTCTCCTTCTAACATCAACAGTAGAGGTGAGTTTGGATGGACGCCAGCCATGGTGGCAGCTGTCAGTGGACATCAAAGTGTGTTTGACCTCCTTGTGTCCAAGCACGCTGACCTGACACTGGTGGATACATCTGGTGATAGTTTACTTCATCTTGCCTGTCAGGGTGGGAACACTGCTATAGTACAACACCTCCTGTCTCCCTCTAACATCAACAGTAGAGGGATGTATGGCTGGACTCCAGCAATGAAGGCAGCTGTCAGTGGACATCAAAGTGTGTTTGACCTCCTTGTGTCCAACCAAGCTGACCTGACACTGCTGGATACATTTGGTGATAGTTTACTTCATCTTGCCTGTCAGGGTGGGAACACTGCTATAGAACAACACCTCCTGTCTCCCTCTAACATCAACAGTAGAGGGAGACATGGATGGACTCCAACAATGAAGGCAGCTGTCAGTGGACATCAAAGTGTGTTTGACCTCCTTGTGTCCAACCAAGCTGACCTGACACTGGTGTCTACATCTGGTGATAGTTTACTTCATTTTGCCTGTCAGGGTGGGAACACTGCTATAGTACAACACCTCCTGTCTCCCTCTAACATCAACAGTAGAGGGATGTATGGCTGGACTCCAGCAATGAAGGCAGCTGTCAGTGGACATCAAAGTGTGTTTGACCTCCTTGTGTCCAACCAAGCTGACCTGACACTGCTGGATACATTTGGTGATAGTTTACTTCATCTTGCCTGTCGTGGTGGGAACACTGCTATAGTACAACACCTCCTGTCTCCCTCTAACATCAACAGTAGAGGGAGACATGGATGGACTCCAACAATGAAGGCAGCTGTCAGTGGACATCAAAGTGTGTTTGACCTCCTTGTGTCCAACCAAGCTGACCTGACACTGGTGTCTACATCTGGTGATAGTTTACTTCATCTTGCCTGTCGTGGTGGGAACACTGCTATAGTACAACACCTCCTGTCTCCTTCTAACATCAACAGTAGAGGTGAGCTTGGATGGACGCCAGCCATGGTGGCAGCTGTCAGTGGACATCAAAGTGTGTTTGACCTCCTTGTATCCAACCAAGCTGACCTGACACTGCTGGATACATTTGGTGATAGTTTACTTCATCTTGCCTGCCGTGGTGGGAACACTGCTATAGTACAACACCTCCTGTCTCCCTCTAACATCAACAGTAGAGGGAGACATGGATGGACTCCAACAATGAAGGCAGCTGTCAGTGGACATCAAAGTGTGTTTGACCTCCTTGTGTCCAACCAAGCTGACCTGACACTGGTGTCTACATCTGGTGATAGTTTACTTCATGTTGCCTGTCGTGGTGGGAACACTGCTATAGTACAACACCTCCTGTCTCCTTCTAACATCAACAGTAGAGGTGAGTTTGGATGGACGCCTGCCATGGTGGCAGCTGTCAGTGGACATCAAAGTGTGTTTGACCTCCTTGTGTCCAACCAAGCTGACCTGACACTGCTGGATACATTTGGTGATAGTTTACTTCATCTTGCCTGTCAGGGTGGGAACACTGCTATAGTACAACACCTCCTGTCTCCCTCTAACATCAACAGTAGAGGGAGACATGGATGGACTCCAACAATGAAGGCAGCTGTCAGTGGACATCAAAGTGTGTTTGACCTCCTTGTGTCCAACCAAGCTGACCTGACACTGGTGTCTACATCTGGTGATAGTTTACTTCATCTTGCCTGTCGTGGTGGGAACACTGCTATAGTACAACACCTCCTGTCTCCTTCTAACATCAACAGTAGAGGTGAGTTTGGATGGACGCCTGCAATGGTGGCAGCTGTCAGTGGACATCTAAGTGTGTTTGACCTCCTTGTATCAAACCAAGCTGATCTGACACTGCTGGATACATCTGGTGATAGTTTACTTCATCTTGCCTGCCGTGGTGGGAACACTGCTATAGTACAACACCTCCTGTCTTCCTCTAACATCAACAGTAGAGGGAGACATGGATACACGCCTTTATTGAAGGCTGCCTTCTATGGACATAAAGATGTGGTTGACCTCCTTATACAACACAAAGCTGACCTGACACTCCTAACAGACTGGAAAATGGATATCCGAGGAGTAGCTAGGTTGGGAGGGCATTCTTCATTGACCAGTTATCTACAAAGTGTTTACCTGCCACACTGATTTCACACATCTCCTATCAAACAGCAGCACAGGACTGTTCTTCCATATGCTTCTGCTTGTACCGAGGGTTTGGGGAAAAGGAAAGGTACAAAAATGCTATCAGTGTACACAATAAATATTTTAAAGTCAACCAATCATTTGGATATCATTATAAAAATATAAGAAGAGGTAGATTTGCTGTAACATGTTAATTATCAGGCGATGTTGACTTCTGATGTTGACTCTTTGTATTTCTGAAATCTTTTAGAAGTCGCCAAAAAAATTTGTGTTGATATTTGATGACACTTTGATTTGATGACACTTTGAAAATCAATAAATCATTAGTAGATCTACATTTTGTGTCATAGATGTGACAGAAGCCTATAACAGGGATGGCAGTTTTCCGCCAATTTTATTTCAGAATCACTCTCCTGACTCCCATTTGATGACACAATATTAAGTTTCAGATGAAAATACATTTTCCTGTTGCCATCCCTGCTGGGTTTGAATTTGACCTCATTACGTTTCATAGTTTGTCAGCACAACACCTGGGTTTCACCGAAGTAGTCAACATAGGAGTCATTTAAAATCATGTTGCTTTTATGAAAGGTCAAGGTTATTAAATCCAAAAATGGAATCATCATAGTGTGGATTTTGAACAACCAGTTCATGTCTGTTACTTCAATTTGATACATCTGTCAGGATCTGGCAAACTCGTCATTATATTCCTTCAGGTTAACTTTCTTGACAAGCCAATCAGGGGGGGGTTCTGTTTTCTCAAAATAATGATGACTCTAACCCCAATTCTAAATGTAAACAGACAGTTCTGAATGGAAGCCAACAATGGCCCTGGGGATGTTTTATTACCTGTTATTTCTGACATGTTTCTCATTGTAAAACAGTGGTGTATCTGTATTACATCGTTTCTGTTAATATTCAATCAGGGCAGTGCTTGTATGTTATGATATCGTATTTCTACTGCCAGTATATTTTATTCTCCCATTATATTTGTACAGCCAATATGTCTTATTCTAACATTGTAATTCCTTTGCACTGAATATTGATTTGCACCACGTAAGATCAATTTAGAATACATTTGTAAGTTATAGCACATGTCTTTGTTGTTTGTTGGTTTCAAGTGAAGTTCTTTAATATACAGGGCGGTAGGGTAGCCCAGTGGTAAAAACGTTAAGCCTTGTCACACCTAAGACCGGTGTCCAATTCCCTGCATGGGTATAACGAGTTCAGCCCATCAGCTGTGATATTGCTGATTAGACCATATTAAAACATTCACTCACTTTACATACTACTGTCGACCGCCTCCGTGGTGTAGTGGTTAGAGCGTCCGCCCGGAGAGCGGAAGGTCGCGGGTTCGATCCCCGACCGCGTCATACCAAAAGACATTAAAATATTGTACTTGTTGGTCCCTGCCTGACGCTCGGCATTAATGGGTACAACAAGGACTGGTCGGCTCGGAGTCAGTATAATGTGTCTGAGTGGGGTATTCATGCTTCACTGTGGTATGGTATCTCAGTGGGCTAGCACTATAAAACCAGCTTCAGTCTGGGTTAGTACAAGCCCCGCACATACACATACACACGCATGCACGTCGTCATATGAGAGTGAAATTTTCTAAGATTCGACGTAAAACCCAATTTCACCTCACCTCTCACATACTGTTGTCCCGGTGCTCGATTTTAGGACATGAAACCTACTTCCACCCACTGCAACCTTAAGTAATAACCTTGTTGCTCCTGACAAAAACAGGTTGCACATGCTGCTCAATTATACACTTCACATAATGCTTGAGTTTTGGTACTGATGGTTTTGAATAAAATATTTTTTCTGAATAAAATATTTTTGGCATTTCCATGGCAACAAGTTTGACTTAGACTGAAATTGGTGGTTGTGCTCTTTTCCAGACCAGAACTCTAAAATGGTTCACTATTTCTTCACCAAACTTGGCACACAGATAGATCTGGTGGTGTACTGGTGCCTTTTGGTAGTTTTAGAATTCTGAATAAAATATCTTTGGCATTTCCATGGCAACAAGTTTGACTTAGACTGAAATTGTGATAGTGCTCTTTTCCGGAGCTGAACTCTAAAACTGCTTACTATTTCTTCACCAAACTTGACACATAGATAGATCTGGTGGTGTACTGGTGCCTTTTGGTAGATTTGGAATTCTGAATATAATATTTTTGGCGTTTCAATGGCAACACGTGTAACAGCGGTACCCATGTCATGTCTAGAAACAAGTGAGTACTTGTAGGGTTCGAGGGATTTATTTGGACAAATGGACGCCCAGATCTGCCCTAAAACATACACAATTCAACCATAAATATCATGACAATACATAGATACAAGATAACGATATTACTTTTAAGATTTACAGATCATTTCTGTATACATTACAAATCCCTTTAGATAAAACATATTACACTTTATATAAAGATCATGCACATGCAATTGAACAAATGTATTACCTCGTCTCAGGGACGCAGGCTGGAATGCGTGATTGGTGTACAGTGATAAGCCCTGCACAAATAAATATAGTATATAAATATAGGATAACAGATATGGTACACTTTCATTAGCATGTACAGAATACATTATACATTCCCAAAATAATATACATACATACATGATACATAGAATACTGCTAACCCGTTTACACATACAAAATGTACATATATATATCCTATGAAATACACTTGGCATATACCTCTGTTGAATACACAAGTAAGTTGAATTAACCCTACCTTACAATATAATACACTACTAGCTAAAATACTACATATATATATATATAACAATGCTTAAAATACATAATAACCAAACCTAAGATGCCAGATACATTAATAAATGAACTTACCCTATATCATCTTGTGCAAAGAATGTGCTCACTATGCAGAAAGGAGAAATATGCTGACTGACCAGCAAAAGTTTGAAGTCGTCACTCCACATGACTAAAACAATCATGTGACCCCAGAGAACAATAAAACCCTAATCACAGGCCAAGCCTGTGACTGCCCGAGTGACAATACCCATGAACCTATATACAATGAAAAGGCTGAACTATCCCAGCTTACCTATGAGTTAGTAGATTTGTGCAAGTGCTGAAGTTAACACAAGTATTAAGGAAAGTAAAGTTTAAATATCTAGGCTAAGGTTATTAAATATTTAGGTTCAGGTTATTAATTTACTTCATATAAGTTTACTATGATGATTAGAATCTAACAATACACTATTTACAAAAATACTGCTACACAAGTTTGACTTAGCCTGAAATTGGTGAATGTGCTCTTTTCCGGAGTAGAACTCTAAAACTGTTCAATGTTTCTTCACCAAACTTGGCACATAGTTTGGTCTGGTGGTGTACTGGTAACTTTTGGTAGTTTTAGAATTCTGAATAAAATATTTTTGGCATTTCCATGGGAACAAGTTTGACTTAGCCTGAAATTGGTGATAGTGCTGCTTTCTGGAGTCAGAGCTTTAAAACCTTGCAATACTCTCCTTCCACTTTTCTATATACACACCTAAATATTTGACTTAATCATAACTAATAGACATAATCATGAAGAGTATGTTGCAATTGCGGGGGATATTGATGACTTTGTCTTCTTGTTGGCATTTCCATGGCAACACGTTTGACTTACACTGAAATTGGTGGTTGTGCTCTTTTCTGGAGCTGAACTCTAAAATGGTTCAAAATCTCTTCACCAAACTTGGCACATACATAGATCTGGTGGTGTACTTGTGCCTTTTGGTAGTTTTAGAATTCTGAATAAAATATTTTTGGCGTTTCAATGGCAACAAGTTTGACTTTGACTGAAATAAGTGGTTGTGCTCTTTACGGAGCTGAACTCAAAACCATTCACTATTTCTTCACCAAACTTGGCACATACATTGATCTGGTGGTGTACTGGTGCCTTTTGGTAGTTTTAGAATTCTGAATAAAATATTTTTGGCATTTCCATGGCAACAAGTTTGACATAGACTGAAATTAGTGGTTGGCTGAACTCTAAAACCGTTCACTATTTCTTTACCAAACGTGGCACATAGATTGGTCTGGTGGTGTACTGGTGCCTTTTGGTAGTTAAGGAATTCTGAATAATTTAATGTTTTTGGCATTTCCATGGCAACAAGTTCGACTTTGACTGAAATTGGTGATAGTGCTCCTTTCTGGAGCAGAACTTATAAAACCTTTCAATACTCTCCTTCCACTTTTCTATATACACACCTAAATATTTGAGATAATCATAACTCGTAGACATAATCATGAAGAGTATTTTGCCATTGCTGGGGATATTGATGACTTTGTCTTCTTGTATTTCTTGTTTTTATGGATCCGTCTGCCATATTTTTTCAAGAACTGAAAAAAAATATATATTTATTTTTCTCGCTCAAAAAATAAAATTCTAATGATTTTATTGGCCAAAAATATAAATATACAAGAAATTTTGTTTTTAGATTGTTTTTTGCCTCATATTCACTTCATAAATTGCCAAAAGTAACATACTTTCAGTATTTAGAAGGAATATTACTATGACTGGTGATTTTATTTTTATTTTTTTCCCTCCTTCCTTAAGGTTTTCAGAAGACAAAACTCCATAAAACAAGAAATAAAATTGGTCTGGCTTTACTTTATAAACTTTTATGACATGAACAGTAACAGTCGCTCACTCAATCACTGTCCAAGAAGTCACCAGAGTCACTGTACTAATCAGCTTGTCTGTCCGTCAGCCTGTCCGTCTAATAATTTCTTGTCCAAACCATACTCTCTAAAACGAATATCAAATCATCCACAAAAACACTCACACACACGTTGATCAAGTTGTCAATGTTACTTAAAGATATTTAGAATTTATATTTTCCCCATAATCAAGGCAACAAGTTTGACTTTGTTAATAGTTGTGTCTCTTGTCTAGATCATATCTCTAACACTAATCACAAAACATAACACACACATTAATCAGGTTGTCAACTGGTGCCTTTTGATACTTTTTCCTGCTATTTACCCACAGTTGGTGTCTTCAACCACAGACTCACAAAACCCAGGAAACTATCTGACTTATTGGATGACACTGAAGGTCAAGGTCATAAACTTTGGTATTTTTTAATGGAATTTGATCAATCATAATGTGTTTGATCTCAAAGATATTCTCCTCGATTAAGTTCATGTTTACCTCCTTATAAAGTCAAGGTCAATGGAGGTCAAATAATTAAACATGGATTTAGTTTCTTGAAATTTTGGATCAATTCATGAAAGAAAAAGATTTTGTAATTAGTTAAGATGACGTTTATCAGTAATAATAGATATTGATGTACTGTTGGACTGTTGGTCTTTCAAAATGACACCTCAAACAGATCAATGTCTGTCTCAAAGACCTATCTCACTTAGACTATCCCCACCATCTTGTCGCTTTTATATGTGAACCACCTCAGTGGTGTAGTGGTGAGAGTGTCCTCCTCCCGGAGAGCGATTCCCGTCCGTGTAATACCAAAAGACTTAAAACATGGTAGTTGTTGGTCCCTGCCTGGCGCTCAACATTTTTTAACTGGGTACAACAAGGACTGGTCGGCTCGGTGTCAGTATAGACCCGTGAAGATCCAGGGTAGAATAGGTCTTCAGCAACCCATGCTAGTCACAGAAGGCGACTGTGCTTGTCGTAAGAGGCGACTAACGGGATCGGGTGGTCAGGCTCGCCGACTTGGTTGACACGACATCGGTTCCCAATTGCGCAGATCGATGTTTATCATGTTGATCACTGGATTGTCTGGTCTAGACTTGATTATTTACAGACCGCC